TTAACGCGGGGTTTTTATTTTGGTACAAATTTCCATTTTTAACTTTCTTTCCCGAATAGTCTGATCTTATTGCCGAGGCTGTACACAAGCATTTAGGTGAAGGCGAATTGGCACAACGCAAAATTCTAGGTGTGGACAATGTCACACAGGATGAACGTGGCCTGCGTACATTGATCAGCGCTGGTTGCTATCGCTCTGCAGTGAATCTCACTGGACGTTTATTGACTATCTATGGTCAGGGGTATGGTCGTGCCGGCCAACCGGCCAAACATTCGCCGCACTCACTGCAATTGTGGTTCACACGTTTAGCGCTTTTGGCGAAATTGGGTGAATTTGAGCTGCTGCAGGCAGAAGCAGAACCATTCGATCAACTTAATCGACCAGATGTGTACTATGAGGTAGTATATATTCTTCGACACCAATTGATATTTTATTACTACTTAATTTCCTGTTTTACTAGTTCTATCCAGAAATGTATAATGGAAAAACAGGCTCAATTGCTTGCTTCTCCTTTCGCTTACTACTTGCTGAATTGCCCATTTATATGGGAAACCCACATTTAGGCTTAGATCGACTGTCAGAACTTTATGTGATAAGCAATGAAATTAAAAAGTATTTCGCTGGACGTGAACCGAAAGATGCAGAACAATTTTGGTGGCGACGTGAGATACGCGTACTACATTCCATAGTCAATTGTGCGTTAATAGTGAGTAAACGTTTAATTGATATGTAAATTATATTAACTCTTCTCTTATTAAATAGATGAAGAAGTTCAATTTGATTGATGACATCATACGCGGCATGATACTGGAAAGCGCTGATTTGAGCAAGGAAGAACGGCGTGCACTGTATTCTGCTTGGGGACGCATTTATTTACAGATTGGTGATATTTTTGGTGCGGAGCAGAAATTTGCAGAAGCACGTCGGATGCGTGAAATGTGTGTGAAATTTTTCATACTGAAAAAAAGTAAAAAAAATTACATAAATTCTTTGGTACATTTACAGCAATTCCACGCCTG